ATAAACACACTAAATAAACACACACAAAAATAGATGAAGTAAAGCAGGGTATGACTTAACGTGCGTGTTGTATAAAAAAAACCCACCATTAACACTAATACCATAAACCCATATTACACAATATTATATTACGCAAGCAGAAGTTAAATGCGCCTTGATCTGACCAAAAACAACAAACACCCTGCACTATGGCATTGATCTGCTTGTTCAGATCTGGCCGCCGACTGAAAAAATATTTTTTTTCCACAAAGAATATCAATATTCAAGGGTCTCTTAGCTTTTGGATCAAAGTCTTGACTCTTTAACAAGTTTTAGTTTTAATACTAAAAAAAAAAAAAATCCAGCCTTTGCGCTTTTCTTTTTTTGGACGGATATTGAAGGGAAGAAGAGGCAAAGATGGCGGCTAGTACGGTAGATGAGGAAACTGAGTCCCAGTATTCTACCCCAGTATTTAGACCCTCACTTTCCCGACCTACATTATTGAGACTCCCACTTTCCCGACCTACAGTATTTAGACCCTCACTTTCCCGATCTACAGTATTTAAACCCTCACTTTCCCGACCTACATTATTTAGACTCTCACTTTCCCGACCTACAGTATTTAGACCCCCACTTTCCCGACCTACAGTATTTAGACCCACACTTTCCCGATCTACAGTATTTAGACCCCCACTTTCCCGACCTACAGTATTTAGACTCTCACTTTCCCGACCTACATTATTTAGACTCCCACTTTCCCGACCTACAGTATTTAGACCCTCACTTTCCCGATCTACAGTAGTTAGACCCTCACTTTCCCGACCTACAGTATTTAGACTCTCACTTTCCCGACCTACAGTATTGAGACCCCCACTTTCCCGACCTACAGTATTTAGACCCACACTTTCCCGACCTACAGTATTTAGACTCTCACTTTCTCGACCTACATTATTTAGACTCCCACTTTCCCGATCTACAGTGTTTCGACCCTCACTTTCCCGACCTACAGTATTTAGACCCACACTTTCCCGACCTACAGTATTTAGACTCTCACTTTCTCGACCTACATTATTTAGACTCCCACTTTCCCGACCTACATTATTTAGACTCCCACTTTCCCGACCTACAGTATTTAGACTCTCACTTTCTCGACCTACATTATTTAGACTCCCACTTTCCCGATCTACAGTGTTTCGACTCCCACTTTCCCGACCTACATTATTTAGACTCCCACTTTCCCGATCTACAGTGTTTCGACTCCCACTTTCCCGACCTACATTATTTAGACTCCCACTTTCCCGATCTACAGTGTTTCGACTCCCACTTTCCCGACCTACATTATTTAGACTCCCACTTTCCCGACCTACATTATTTAGACTCCCACTTTCCCGATCTACAGTGTTTCGACTCCCACTTTCCCGACCTACATTATTTAGACTCCCACTTTCCCGACCTACATTATTTAGACTCCCACTTTCCCGATCTACAGAATTTAGTCCCCAACTTCCTCAATCAAAGTACTGGACATTTAGAAAGCCGACTGGACATCTTAGGTCGCAGGACAGACGGACCTTCTTTCGTCATCTGCCCTGGGGGCTTAAATGACGTCATATACTTATGTGGTTCAGACTTAATGACGAAGTGTTACGAGAGAGAGAAAGAGAGAGAGAGAGAGAGAGAGAGAGAGAGAGAGAGAGAGAGAGAGAGAGAAGGTTATGTATAATTTAAGAAATGTGAAATATGCACCTTTTTGTAATATCTATATCTATATATATCTATATATATATATATATATCTATATGTTAGGGGAGGGTTCCCAGATGGGAAGAGGGAGATGGTAAGATGGTATTTATTCTCTCTAATCCGTGCATCCCCCTTTGGAAAAGGGGAGGTTTACCAGACCTGAGCAAAACTAACTACTTCACACTAATACAACATTAATATTACACTTCATTTGACGTCACAAGATATATATGTAAAAACAAAAGCAAAAGAAACAACACAAATAAGACGTGGCCAGTCTTTCATATTCAAGAAGACATCACTTGAATTCTTAATACAAATAAAGAATGACAACAAATCCTTAAACTTACATCTCCATACAGAATTATTCACATTGGTTACATAACATTCAAAACAAGTTAATAAAAAGTCTAGTGACAATTTAAGCGCAATTTCCTTATGTTATCCATAACAATTTTTAATTTTTTGTGACCGAACGAAAGGATATTTTTTTGCGCTAAAAAACAGACAACTATATTAACCTATATCAACGGAAATAGTTTTATTTCAACGAGTAGGCCTACACGATGCTCAGTTTAAAAAAAAAATATCATCCTAGGCCTACACGATGCTCAGTTTAAATGTTCTTAATTAATTTTTTGTGACCGAACGAAAGGATATTTTTGAAAACTTTCTTCAGCAATATTGTTCTAAATTATGGCAGGAATCGATTGGTACATGTTTCAAGTCGCTAAGTGGTCTGGTTGCCGAGATAAGGGCCAAAAAACTGCATTTTTTCGAGGTTTTTTGGCTTTTCCGGGAAATCTAGGAAGGAATTCCGGGATTGTTTTTGGCCCACAATCATCATCGGAACTTGCTTAACATATTTGCTTTTGGAACTAGTCCTCGATATTGCTTCGTTGAGGAGGAGATACGACTTAAAGCTGCGGACACACATCCATTCATTCATTTATCCATCCAGAAATGACGAGTTAATAATCGCAATTGTCCGTATGGAAATTGCGCTAAAAATATATAAGTGTGAATAAAAAACCGACATTTACTAAGTTATATATATATATATATATATATATATATATATATATATATATATATATATATATATATATATATATATAATGCGAATTTAAAAAAAAAACTCGGCTAGAAACTCGGCTTTAGGGAAGGGAAGGTGGTGAGTGATGTGATGTCATCTTAGCATTTTGTGACGTGGGTGTGAGGTGCGAATCGGCTCGGCTAGAATAGCGTGACGTCATTCGTGGACCAAAAAAATGGAAATTTGAAAAAAAAAAACCCGCTTCATTTCTACTTATCTAAAAAGCAATTTGAAAGAGCAAATTACTCCTTTCAATCAGCAGGGGACCATCAAGAGATCTCTAGCGGCACGCATTTGATGGTAACCGGTGGAATAAAAAGCAAACTTTTCACCAAACACTTTCAATTTTTGGAACATTTTACCAGTAAGGGGTGGGGTGGGGGGTGTTACTTGAAACAAAATCTGCATTTTACCATCACTCCCACTCCCACACTTACACCACCCCACTCCATCTATGTCAATGCAACATCCGGGACCTGATGCTTGTGGTGGGGTGGGGAAGGCATGACGCTGAGGAGGGACACTCAGGAGGGACCGGACATAAGGGGGGGGGGGGAATTGACGTTGAGGAGGGACCATTATACAGACGTGTAGGCAAGGAGGTGCTTGAGGTGTTTTCTCGGGCAAGTGATGGATAGAAAATATCAGCACAACAACTCGGCTCACGAGCCAACACATGATTCGACATAAGAACAACTCGACATACGAACAACTCGACATAAGAACAACTCGACATAAGAACAACTCGACATACGAACAACTCGACATAAGAACAACTCGACATAAGAACAACTCGACATAAGAACAACTCGACATAAGAACAACTCGACATAAGAACAACTCGACATAAGAACAACTCGACATAAGAACAACTCGACATAGGAACAACTCGACATAAGAACAACTCGACATAAGAACAACTCGACATAAGAACAACTCGATATAAGAACAACTCGACATAAGAACAACTCGACATAAGAACAACTCGACATAAGAACAACTCGACATAAGAACAACTCGACATAAGAACAACTCGACATAAGAACAACTCGACGTAAGAACAACTCGACATAAGAACAATGTATTTTGTTGACTAACCCAGATTTTTCGTTTTAAAAAATGTTTTCGTTAAACGTAGTTTTTCTGAAGTCTGCATCAATAACAACCAAAGTTTTTAAAAATCTCCAAAGCAAACATTACCAAGGATGAATGAGCTCCGTTGGGTAAATATCCACTATTTTTGTAATCTCTCCCAATTCGAAACGGTATTTTATTTCCTTCAAGCTTGACCAGGCCTTAAACCGCTGTTTGTGTAGATTAATACAGTCGATGAATCACTGGGCCTGTCAATATTTTACATATCCCCCCCCTACGTTTACAAAGCATATATTCACCGTATTCTCTACTCCCCTAAAAACAAAGCAACTGTTCCATTCTACTCTGTAAGACACGCCTTTCCCTATGTCACACATTCCTCTATACAAGGTACCTGTTCCATTCTACTCTATAACACAAATTCCCCTATACAAGGCACATATTCATCTCTATAGACCATCTATTAAGCACCCTGTAACAGGAGCTTGGTGTAAACACGAGGAATCAGACGAGGAATATTCTCCAGGTTACGGCTATAGACACACAAAGGGCTTTGCTATAAATATCTTGTAGCCCAGTCACTCAAAGGGCTTTGCTATAAATATCTTGTAGCCCAGACACACAAAGGGCTTTGCTATAAATATCTTGTAGCCCAGACACTCAAAGGGCTTTGCTATAAATATCTTGTAGCCCAGTCACACAAAGGGCTTTGCTATAAATGTCTTGTAGCGCAGACACTCAAAGGGCTTTGCTATAAATATCTTGTAGCCCAGACACACGAAGGGCTTTGCTATAAATATCTTGTAGCCCAGAAACTAACAGGGCTTTGCTATAAATATCTTGTAGCGCATACACTAAAGGGCCGTGCTATAAATATCGTGTAGCCCAGACTCACTACAACTATAGTGCTAAGTGCACCTTATTATAAAAAAAAATGTCGATCCGACGAAAGATTATGGGCGCTACATGATCCTGGTACATATTTGTTGTTTTCGTCTCGTGTAAAGAACACAACAACTGATTTTGTCAGGGTGAAGAAAGGAGGACAGACCAATGGATGGACAGACAGACAGAAAGAATGTGTTACCTCTCTAAACCTCGTCTCCTCCATCTGAAGGGCGTACCGGAACTCGTCCTCCAGCTGGGTGTACTGGCGCCCCAACACCTCCACCCTGCAGGGGAGACGATCAGTGTCAACATTTGGATTACAGGGAGCTAACAATGGTTACTAAGCTTAATAATCATACTCTTCACATTATAAATATTAATCTCACCATCTTATAGTTAACTTCACCAGTATTTTGTTTGATTGATATGCTAATAGTTATACCGATAACTAGTCAGACAAAAACCGAAAATTAAATAAAATGAACCAGCAGGAAAAAAATGAACATTTTAACTCATACAAGTCTTTGTTTTTATTAACTTGTTTTTAAACGTGTTTTTTTTTCTTCTTTAAAACCAAAATGTTCTCTTCTTTTTTGCTTTCCTTGAAAAAAATGCGATTTCTAATAAGTTTTTTAATGAACAAGCACAGACTTACTTGTTTAAAGTGGTGTGTAATGAAGTCTGTAATGAAGTGTGTAGTTGGTGTGTAGTTGGTGTGTCTAATTAGCGTGTGTCCAAGTACAGACTTACTTGTGTAAAGAGGTGTGTAATGAAGTGTGTAGTTGGTGTGTAGTGAAGTGCGTAGTTGGTGTGTAGTGAAGTGTGTAGTTGGTGTGTAGTGAAGTGTGTAGTTGGTGTGTAATGAAGTGTGTAGTTGGTGTGTAATGAAGTGTGTAGTTGGTGTGTAGTTGATGTGTCTAATTAGCGTGTGTCCAAGACTTACTTCTCCTGCTGCTTGACCAGCTCAGCCTGAAATGACCTCTCGACCTCCTGAACTTTGACCTTCAGCATCTGCTGGAGCTCCGGACTATTTAAAGCAAAGCGGTCCTTAAGCTCCTCCCTGTAGCAGAGAATCAATTGGCCATTTAGATGGCCAGGGTGGCCTAGTAGGCAGAATAGGGTGGGGGGTAGCACATATACAGGCAGAGAATAAATTGGCCATTTAGATGGCCAGGACCAGTGTGGCCTAATAGGCAGAATAGGAAGGGGGGGGGGGTAGTACATATACAGGCAGAGAATCAATTGGTCATTTAGATGGACAGTGTGGCCTAGTAGGCAGAATAGGGTAGGGGTAGTACATACACAAGCAGAGAATCAATTGGCCATTTAGATGGCCAGGGCCAGGGTGGCCTAGTAGTATAGGCTGGGGGGGGGGGGGTAGTACATATACAGGCAGAGAATCAATTGGCCATTTAGATGGCCAGGGTGGCCTAGTAGAATAGGGGGGGGGTTGTACATATACAGGCAGAGCATTAATTGGCCATATAGATGGCCAGGGACAGGGTGGCCTAGTAGAATAGGCTGGGGGGGGGGGGGCTAGTATATATAAAGTTTAGTTCAAGGGGGAGGTGTGGATATGTTCTTTACATCAATCATTCCGTTTTTTCTTACACGAAGTAAAATGTGTAGACAGTTGAGCTAATACTTGGAGACAGTAGAAACTATGGGGAATTACTGAGGCATGTTGGGATAGGAATGGGGAAATGTGGAGATAGATATGGGGAAATAAAGACACAGCAATTGGGAAATGTGGAGACAGGTATGGGGAAATGTGGAGACAGGAATGGGGGAATGTGGAGACAGGTATGGGGAAATGTGGAGACAGGTATGGGGAAATGTGGAGATAGGTATGGGGAAATGTGGAGACAGATACAGGGAAATGTAGATTTAGATGTGAGGAAACATACAGGTGTGGGGAAATGTGGAGACAGAAATGGGGGTCACGGGGTGGTAAAGGTAGCATGTCAAGCATGAAAAATTTAAAGCTCAGCATATACATCTATCAAGACTAATGAAGAAAGTCAAAAGATAAATTATAATTAAACAAGGGAAGAACATAAATCCAGGAAAGGGTTACAAAACTTGGCTGGAATGAAGCAACATAAAAGTCAGTTAAAACTGCCATATATCAAGGTCTTAAACAAGAATTAAGTAGAACCAAAAGTAGACCACACCTGCGAAGATTAAAGTTAGTTAAAACTGCCATATATCAAGGTATTAAACAAGTATAACGTAGAGCCAAAAGTAGACCGTACTTGTGAAGATTTGAGTCAGTCAAAACTGCCATATATCAAGTTATTAAAAAAGTATAAAGTAGAGCCAAAAGTAGACCATACTTGTGAAGATTAAAGTCAGTTAAAACTGCCATATATCAAGGTGTGAAACAAGTATAAAGTAGAACCAAAAGTAGACAATACTTGTGCTGGTTTTCCCTCAGTGCCAGCGTCTCCTGCAGCTGGTGGAGCTGACTCTTGGTGGAGTCGAGTGAGTGCTTCAACAGCTCCACCTCCCGCGTCATGCTGGACGCTCGGTGCTGGGCCTCTTGGAGCTTTTTATTCTGGGGAATACGTGCTCACGTTTAACACATAGGTGTTATCTTACACGTTTAACACATAGGTGTAATCTTACACGTATTCACGTTTAACACATAGGTGTAATCTTACATGTGCTTACACTTAACTATTGCTTTAATCTTACACGTGCTTACATTTAATCACTGCTGTAAGCTTATACGTGCTCACACGTAAGTATTTATATTACGTTAATCTTAACCGTAGACTACACTCATATTTATATTCTGGAAAATAGTGTACGTCCCCTTCCCCCTCCTTAAAATTCAAATAATTTTGAACTGCGTTTTTAAAAAAAAAAAGATATTAACATAGCTGTGTTGTGTATATTGATGACTCTTTAATAACATTTACAAAATTTCTAAAACATGTATTAAAAAACCTTTCAGATTAAATACAAAAATTCATTTTTAAAATGCAAAAGTTTGACGTCACATTCTACGTTACACACTGTCCAAAGGTCCGAATTTCTCCTATCCCCTATGATTGTAACGTCATTTACAGATAACCACCCTGACATGGTATAAATCATTAAACCTGGTGATTACCCCTGCATGAAATGACAATACTCCAGCCAGACTTTAACATAGCAAGGACGAATTAATGTCACAAGGATGAATTAATGTTTCAAGGACGAATTAATGTCTCGTGGATGAATTAATGTCTCAAGGACGAATTAATATCCCAAGGACGAATTAATGTCTCATGGACAAATTAATGTCTCAAGGACGAATTAATGTCCCAAGGAAGATTTAATGCCCCAAAGACGAATTAATGTCCCAAGGACGAATTAATGTCACAAGGACGAATTAATGTCTCAAGGACGAATTAATGGCCCAAAGACGAATTAATGTTCCAAGGACGAATGAATGTCACAAGGACGAATTAATGTCACGAATTAATGTCTGAAACAAAATATCACACTGAACTCAGCTATGGAAACTATCAACCAAACCGATTTTAATCTCACATTGGTAAAATACTCCTGTCATCATCACAATGATTCAATACAAATAAAACAAAAACAACAACACCACCACCACCTCCCCAGTTGATGTTCAAATTTCCAGGCACTTCTAAATCACGTGACAACCTCTTATTTCTAGACGTGATTCCGTGCAACCCCAGTACCACCAAACAAGTCACAGGCAATCACGAGAAAAAAAATCTCGTTTTTTTTTCCTCGTAAATTTTTTTTTCATCTTGGCAAAAACTCTGTGATGAGGAGGGGAGGGGGGTTAGGGGTAAAAAAATGTGGGAAGGAGATTACGTCCCCTTCTATCAGATTACAGAAGGTTATCACAGTGCATTAAAGAACATTCGAGACGGCGAATATGACTGGATGGAAACATTTGGGGGAGGGGGGAAAGGTGGGGGGGGGGGGGTGGAGGTTTGAACAGGGAGTTCACAGTCGTAGAAACACAAAACATTACTTTCTCTAACAACAGTAGGCCGACATTACTTTCTCTAAACAAATCTACTTACATTACTTTCTCTAAACAAATCTACTTACATTACTTTCTCTAAACAAATCTACTTACATTACTTTCTCTAAACAAATCTACTTACATTACTTTCTCTAAACAAATCTACTTACATTACTTTCTCTAAACAAATCTACTTACATTACTTTCTCTAAACAAATCTACTTACATTACTTTCTCTAAACAAATCTACTTACATTACTTTCTCTAAACAAATCTACTTACATTACTTTCTCTAAACAAATCTACTTACATTACTTTCTCTAAACAAATCTACTTACATTACTTTGTCTAAACAAATCTACTTATATTACTTTCTCTAAACAAATCTACTTACATTACCTTTTTCTAAAGAAAAATTCTTACAATACTTTTTCTAAAGAAGAATTATTTTCTTACAATACTTTATCTAAACAGGAATTCTTACATTTCTTTCTCTAAACAAATCTACGTACATTACTTTCTCTAAAGAAGAATTCTTACATTACTTTCTCTAAACAATAATTCTTACATTACTTTCTCTGAACTTGAATTCTTTCATTACTTTCTAATGCCCAGTATGCGTACATTACTTTCTGTTTGCACCCGAAGGTTACGTACATTACATTCTGCCCCAAAGTTTTCCATTATATTATATTCTATCATCCCCCCTCCCCAAATCGGCATTCCTTACTTTCCACCCTCCCAGTCGTAGTCGACCATTGCTTTCAACCCCACCCCTCCCCTGTCTTCCTTCCTTCTTTAGTCATCTTTGCTCTTTTAGGAACATAGGGCCTCCACCATTTCCTCCCTCCCTCCGTAGTCTATGTTCGTTATTTTCTCCCCCCTCCTCAGTCCATAGCTTTCCACCCACCCCCTCCCGTCTATGTAGGTTATTTCTCTCCCCCCCCCCAGTCGTATGCGGCCATAGCTTTCTACCCCACCCCCTCCCCAGTCTATGTTCGTTATTTTCTCCCCTCCCCCACCTCAGACCATAGCTGTCCACCCCACCCCCTCCCGTCTATGTATGTTATTTGTTCCGTCCCCCCCCCCCAGTCGTATGCGGCTATAGCTTTCCACCCCACCCCCTCCCGTCTATGTATGTTATTTGTTCCGTCCCCCCCCCCAGTCGTATGCGGCTATAGCTTTCCACCCCACCCCCTCCCCAGTCTATGTATGTTATTTTCACCCCTCCCACCAGTCTGCGTAGCCTACATTCTCCAGATGAATTTGTCACTCTGTCAAAATGCGATAACCAGAGAATTTGTTATCTCCTCAAATACACAGGTCTGACATTTCACAGGCTCTAATTAGTCTACACTTTTTGATTTACAACGTGCTACTACTCAGTGGCATCGCTAGGTTGGGTGACACCCGGTGCGGCACTTTATTCTGTCACCCCTCCCCCTACACACACCAAAGAAAAAACAAGTATATAAATAAATAAATAAATAAATAAATAAATAAATAAATAAATAAATATATATATATATATATATATATATATATATATATATATATATATATATATATATATAATTTATTTACGTGAGTGTATGTATTGTCGACCTTGTAACTCTAATTATTCATTAACTGAAATGGTAAAATGAGTTTTTCCTCTTTATATTTTGCAATCTTTCGTCTTGGTGTCACCCCCATAAATGGTGTCACCCAGTGCTGTCCGCACCCCCGCCCCCGCCTCGCGACGCCTCTGCTACCACTAAATACTAAATACCTGTTGATTTATAATGTGCTACCACTAATTACTAATGAGTAGATTGTGTTTTTTTTTACCAGGAGACCGAGTCACCAAATACTCCGAGCAACAGAATGTTCTCGATACTCACAGGTAGGGGAGGTACCGTGGCATTAGGATCAACAGTGGCGTTACTAGACAGGGACTGAGAAGGGGGGTGCGGACTGTACCAGGTGACACTATCCAGAGGGTGACACCATAAAAATGTAACAAATTTTAATAAGAGCGCCTGCCTTTTTCTAGTTACTGTTAAGTACATTATTAAACAAAGGCCAACACCAACATGGATGACGTACCGGGTTTCACTCAACCTAGTGACGCCCCTGGGTGGGGTTGACACTAAATTGCCTTATATTTTAATTATGTCTTATACAAGTATGTAAAACGGCTGAGTGGAGTGACATACGGAATTGACGTACCGGGTTTCACCCAACCTATTGACTCCCCTGGACGTCCTCTCATGTCGTTTACAAACTCCACGCCGTGACTCATTAAAAACAACAACCTTCATCAGTTGTGTTCGAATTGCTGTGTGTGTATTAGCCGTATAGAGCCCCCCACCATCCCCCCGCTAGCCCAGTGTTCATAAAATTACGGCTCCGGAGCCACATGTGACTCTTTGAAAAAAAAAAACAACGCCGTTAATAAATAAGTTCATGAACGTGCACTAAGACCACAGCTTAGACATACAGTTCAACGTGTACAACCCTGTTTTCATTCAGCTTCTAAAGTTTCATGTAACTAATTACAAGTACAGCCTTCAGTGCGATCATGCTGAATATAATTAGCAAACATAATTAAAAAAATTCATAAAAAACGTTTTAATAACAAGCTTTTATGTAACAATGCACTAAAAAGTAGAAAGTAATTATAGACTACTATTTAAATAACTATAAAGAAAAGCGTGGGTCACTTTAGTATCTATTGGATACCTTTACTAATGTTAAGGAAGACACCCACGCTTTTCTTTATAGTTATTTAAATAGTAGTCTATAATTTATTTTCTACTTTTTAGTGCATTGTTACATAAAAGCTTGTTATTAAAACGTTTTTTATGAATTTTTTTTTCAGTACTTTACATGTTTTATTTACTATAGAGTTACATGACTAAAAACCATTGCGCGCCTACTGAACATTACGTTCAGTAGGCGCGCAATGGTTTTTGAACGCAGCCATTACGTGATGGCGCAGCTATTGAAGGTGATGACGCGTGTGGTGTGGTTGGCTAGATATGCCTACTAATTCGGTCCAAATTTTAATTAATTCATTAAAAATCAATTAGGCATCGAATTAAGTCAAATTTAGTTTCAGATTGCATTGTCTTCATGTCTTGACCCACGTGCCAACTGTGAATCGTATCGGTCAAGTAGAACTGTCCGAATTTTCACTCCTGTGTTTCCGTCTAGACAGACTGACGAGGAAGTGAGTTAAATAAAAGCTTGTAAAAAAATTCATAAAAAAAAAAATTCATAAAAAACGTTTTAATAACAAGCTTTTATGTAATGATGCACTAAAAAGTAGAAAATAAATTATAGACTACTATTTAAATAACTATAAAGAAAAGCGTGGGTCACTTTAGTATCTATTGGATACCTTTACTAATGTTAAGGAAGACACCCACGCTTTTCTTTATAGTTATTTAAATAGTAGTCTATAATTTATTTTCTACTTTTTAGTGCATCATTACATAAAAGCTTGTTATTAAAACGTTTTTTATGAATTTTTTTTTCAATACTTTACATGTTTTATTTACAATAGAGTTACATGACTAAAAACCATTGCGCGCCTACTGAATATCACGTTCAGTAGGCGCGCAATGGTTTTTGAACGCAGCCATTACGTGGTCGTGATGGCGCAGCTATTGATGACGCGTGTGGTGTGGTTGGCTAGATATGCCTACTAATTCGGTCCAAATTTTAATTAATTCATAAAAAATCAATTAGGCATCCAATTAAGTCAAATTTAGATTCAGATTGCATTGTCTTCATGTCTTGACCCACGTGCCAACTGTGAATCGTATCGGTCAAGTAGAAGTTTCCGAATTTTCACTCCTGCGTTTCCGTCTAGACAGACAGACTGTCGACTGACGAGGAAGTGAGTTAAATAAAAGCTTGTAAAAAACGTTTTAATAACAAGCTTTTGTGTAATGATGCACTAAAAAGTAGAAAATAAATTATAGACTACTATTTAAATAACTATAAAGAAAAGCGTGGGTCACTTTAGTATCTATTGGATACCTTTACTAATGTTAAGGAAGACACCCACGCTTTTCTTTATAGTTATTTAAATAGTAGTCTATAATTTATTTTCTACTTTTTAGTGCATCATTACATAAAAGCTTGTTATTAAAACGTTTTTTATGAATTTTTTTTTCAATACTTTACATGTTTTATTTACAATAGAGTTACATGACTAAAAACCATTGCGCGCCTACTGAATATCACGTTCAGTAGGCGCGCAATGGTTTTTGAACGCAGCCATTACGTGGTCGTGATGGCGCAGCTATTGATGACGCGTGTGGTGTGGTTGGCTAGATATGCCTACTAATTCGGTCCAAATTTTAATTAATTCATAAAAAATCAATTAGGCATCCAATTAAGTCAAATTTAGATTCAGATTGCATTGTCTTCATGTCTTGACCCACGTGCCAACTGTGAATCGTATCGGTCAAGTAGAAGTTTCCGAATTTTCACTCCTGCGTTTCCGTCTAGACAGACAGACTGTCGACTGACGAGGAAGTGAGTTAAATAAAAGCTTGTAAAAAACGTTTTAATAACAAGCTTTTGTGTAATGATGCACTAAAAAGTAGAAAATAAATTATAGACTACTATTTAAATAACTATAAAGAAAAGCGTGGGTCACTTTAGTATCTATTGGATACCTTTACTAATGTTAAGGAAGACACCCACGCTTTTCTTTATAGTTATTTAAATAGTAGTCTATAATTTATTTTCTACTTTTTAGTGCATCATTACACAAAAGCTTGTTATTAAAACGTTTTTTATGAATTTTTTTTTCAGTACTTTACATGTTTTATTTACAATAGAGTTACATGACTAAAAACCATTGCGCGCCTACTGAACATCACGTTCAGTAGGCGCGCAATGGTTTTTGAACGCAGCCATTACGTGATGGCGCAGCTATTGAAGGTGATGACGCGTGTGGTGTGGTTGGCTAGACATGCCTACTAATTCGGTCCAAATTTTAATTAATTCATAAAAAATTAATTAGGCATCCAATTAAGTCAAATTTAGTTTCAGATTGCATTGTCTTCATGTCTTGACCCACGTGCCAACTGTGAATCGTATCGGTCAAGTAGAACTGTCCGAATTTTCACTCCTGCGTTTCCGTCTAGACAGACAGACCGACGAGGAAGTGAGTTAAATAAAAGCTTGTAAAAACATCGCTTTTGATAATATAAACACAAATAAAATAAACACATGCAAAATGCTGTGGTATCAGCAATCTCAAGTTAAATTGTTGAAAATACACTAACATAATTGTACCAGTTTCTTTGAAACTAATTTAAAAAAAAATAATTTGTTAAAACGGCAGTCTGTTTTATCCATACAGTAGTTTCTAGCCCATTAATTAAGATAATCAGCCGGTTACCTTACGCCAGCCAATTAGTTAAGGTGGTTAATTAGTTACCTGATGAACGCGCTCGGTCATATCTTCAGCTTCTTTTCTGGCCAGACTTTTTTCTGCCTCCTTCAAAGTTTCCTGGCATCTTAACTCTCTGTTCTCGGCATCGAGAAGTTTCTGCTTCAGTTCGGCAGTCTTGGTCTGTGGGTAGGGGAATGGTGGGTAGAAATAGGGGGTAGAAATGGTGGGTAGAAACGGTGGGTAGAAATGGTGGGTAGGGGAATGGTGGGTAGGGGAATGGTGGGTAGAAATGGTGGGTAGGGGAATGGTGGGTAGAAATGGTGGGTAGAAATGGTGGGTAGAAATGGTGGGTAGGGGAATGGTGGGTAGAAATGGTGGGTAGAAAAGGTGAGTAGAAATGGTGGGTAGAAATGGTGGGTAGAAATGGTGGGTAGAAATGGTGGGTAGAAATGGTGGGTAGAAATGGTGGGTAGGGGAATGGTGGGTAGAAATGGTGGGTAGAAATGGTGTCTAGAAATGATGGGTAGAAATAGTGGTTAGAAATGGTGGGTAGAAATGGTGGCTAGAAATGATGGGTAGAAATGGTGGGTAGAAATGGTGTCTAGAAATGGTGTCTAGAAATGGTGGCTAGAAATGGTGGCTAGAAATGGTGGCTAGAAATGGTTGTTATAATACTAATAGACTAGTACGACGTGGACGGCGTGGTCGGATGGTAGAGCTTACGACAACTAACTCGACAGTCCTGAGCTCGGATCCCAAACGGGAAAATATGATGACGATATTATGATTTAATTGTAGATAGTTTTGTTACACGTTTTTTACTTTCTCGTATATACGTAGTATAGAGAAAGTATTGTAATCGTGCAAAAAAAAAATCGAGATTTTTACAAATCTCGACGTTTTACACCTCACTAATACGGAAAAACATAATTTTGCAATCTTGTCCGTATGTCTGTGTGTGTGTGTCTGTGTGTAAACACGATTACTTGAGTACCGTTACAGCTAGGTTGATGAAATTTTATATATAAGTATTATATCAAAATCGTAGATCCGTATCAACTTTTGAGCGATTTCCGATAACCGGAAGTGGTACTTTTTCTACTTAGAATTTTTCAAAAGCCTATAACTTGAGTACTAATTCAGATAGATAAATGAAATTTCACATGTAAGTAAAAGATCTAATTCTCTACCTTCTATTAAATTTTGAGTAATTTCCGTTGACCGGAAGTACTAATTTACGCTATTTCCGATTTCTCAAAAACGCATGTAAATTTATAAAGTACTAATAATATTGCGCACTATTACGCACATTTGGTTTTGGTGCTCGCTTGGTGCGCAATTTTTTTTCTACTAGATTTTATTCTATTTTTAAAAGTTTAAGTAAACAAAAATCATGTCTATATTCCGAGTTGATCCCACGTAGTGTTATATTAGAATATTCGAGAAAGTTTAGGGGAGATCACTCCCGGTTTATTTCATTAGTTATACATCGGTCCTGTAATTCTATTATATTATTACGTAATTAAACTTTTTTCTTTTAGCTGGTTGCTTTTACTTCGTTTACAAATATTTGTTTAAATACTATTTTAATGTCCAATAATGTTTTTAAATTACAAACCTAACCAAGTGAATACACATCGTCTGGTATTGCTGGCCGTAAAGTGTGAACTAACTAGTAGCCTACAGATGGGCGGGTAGTGAGCTGTTCTCACCATGTACACAAAAGTGTAACATAACAATCAACACAAGCATACACAGACTTACACATAGCAATACACAAGAATAACATACATATATATAGAGAGAAACTTAAACACAAATACATACACAACCAAGCTCATAAACAGACAAAAATCACTAACATACACACTGATATACAGAATACAAATACACAGACTTACAGGCAAAACAAACACGGACACACACAGAAAAACATTTCCATGATAGAATGCAGAAAGAGAAAGGACAAGACCGTAGTCCATTCAGCCCCAGCTAGCCCTAGCTAAGATAGGCCGTCCATTCAGCCCTAGCTAAGATAGGCCGTCCATTTAGCCCAGCTAAGATAGGCCGTCCATTTAGCCCAGCTAGCCTTAGCTAAGATAGGCCGTCCATTCAGCCCCAGCTAGCCCTAGCTAAGATAGGCCGTCCATTCAGCCCCAGCTAGCCCTAGCTAAGATAGGCCGTCCATTCAGCCACAGCTAGCCCTAGCTAAGATAGGCCGTCCATTCAGCCCCAGCTAAGATAGGCCGTCCATTCAGCCCCAGCTAGCCCTAGCTAAGATAGGCCGTCCATTCAGCCCCAGCTAGCCCTAGCTAAGATAGGCCGTCCATTCAGCCCCAGCTAGCCCTAGCTAAGATAGGCCGTCCATTCAGCCACAGCTAGCCCTAGCTAAGATAGGCCGTCCATTCCGCCCCAGCTAAGATAGGCCGTCCATTCAGCCCCAGCTAGCCCTAGCTAAGATAGGCCGTCCATTCAGCCCCAGCTAGCCCTAGCTAAGATAGGCCGTCCATTCAGCCCCAGCTAGCCCTAGCTAAGATAGGCCGTCCATTCAGCCACAGCTAGCCCTAGCTAAGATAGGCCGTCCATTCCGCCCCAGCTAAGATAGGCCGTCCATTCAGCCCCAGCTAGCCAAAGATAGACGGCAGACAGTCGTTGGTCACCGAGTGATAACGTGGCCCGTGAGAATGTTGCCGTCCATCATCACACATAACAAAGCGGCAACTGTTTGTGCCGACAGCTCCATTACATGGGGGGGGGGGGGGGTGATGCGGGCATTTATCATACACTCTTGGTCGGTCTCTCTCTCCATATATGCATCATGTATATATATATATATATATATATATATATATATATATATATATATATATATATATATTAGGCATATATATATATACATATTAGGCATATAATATATATATATATATATATATATATATATATATATATATATATATATATATATTATATGCCTAATGTATATATATATATATATATATATATATATATATGTATGTATGTACACATAAAGATACTTAAAAAAAAAGATGTCTACGGTTACTCTATGCTTCGGCTTGGGGCTCAGCAGCCAAAACAAACGCTATCAAAAAAAATTCATTAAAAACGTTTTAATAACAAGCTTTTATGTAATGATGCACTAAAAAGTAGAAAATAAATTATAGACTACTATTTAAATAACTATAAAGAAAAGCGTGGGTCACTTTAGTATCTATTGGATACCTTTACTAATGTTAAGGAAGACACCCACGCTTTTCTTTATAGTTATTTAAATAGTAGTCTATAATTTATTTTCTACTTTTTAGTGCATCATTACATAAAAGCTTGTTATTAAAACGTTTTTAATGAATTTTTTTTTCAGTACTTTACATGTTTTATTTACAATAGAGTTACATGACTAAAAACCATTGCGCGCCTACTGAACATTACGTTCAGTAGGCGCGCAATGGTTTTTGAACGCAGCCATTACGTGATGGCGCAGCTATTGAAGGTGATGACGCGTGTGGTGTGGTTGGCTAGACATGCCTACTAATTCGGTCCAAATTTTTATTAATTTATAAAAAATTAATTAGGCATCCAATTAAGTCAAATTTAGTTTCAGATTGCATTGTCTTTATGTCTTGACCCACGTGCCAACTGTGAATCGTATCGGTCAAGTAGAACTGTCCGAATTTTCACTCCTGCGTTTCCGTCTAGACAGACTGACGACAGACAGAGGAAGTGAGTTAAATAAAAGCTTGTAAAAATTGACAAAGTTCAGAACATTGGTTTGAGAATAATGACAGGAGCCATGAGAACAACGCCTATAAAAGCTATGGAGGAAACAGCCGCTCTTAGCTCAATAGAAGAAAGAAGATTATCAAATATCCTCACTCAATACACAAAGCTAGAGGCACTGGAAAACCACAATCTAAAACACAAACTCCAGAAGCCTAGTCCATCAAACAGACTTCAAAGAACAAGTTTTATTGAAGAAGCAAAAAATCTAATAAATAAATGTGAAATAGAAAACATCATTCCTGAAACAATCAAAACTTAAAACCTCTCCCTGCCGTGGATCTCCCACCAGACATTAATCATCAGAGACTCAATAGACACCATAGATAAAAAAAATCTGATTATGATCAAGAAGAACTAAAGAAAATAATAAATAAGCACATAAAGGATCAGTACCCCAGGATTACCTGGGATTAGAGTTTTCACAGATGGCTCAGCTGAAGATGCCACAAAAAATGGCGGGGCTGGCGTCCTTATTGAATGACCAAACGGAGTAAGCCTGGAAAAGTCAATAGCCACAGGCAGCCTATCCGATAACTTTAGAGCAGAAAAAGAAGCTTTAAAGCATGCAGCAAACCTCCTAGCAGAACACCCTGAATCTCCAAATAGTTAGATAGTATTTCTTACAGATGCTAAATCTGTCCTGCAATCCCTAAAAAAAAAACCAGAATCCTATACTCAATCATTCGGGACAGCACTTGAAAGGCTACAAAATACCTGCAGCAGAATTGTGCTGCAGTGGATCCCGGGCCACTGCCCGATACAAGGAAATGAGATCGCGGACCAGCTGGCAAAAAATTGGGGGAAAGAAAAAACAACCAGAAATCTCGCTACATCCAAAAGAAATAAAAAGAATAATAAAAAACAAACAAACAAAAATGTGGTCCGTCACACACCCATACTACAAAAAAAGACGATGGATATTACAATCTGACACGAAAGCAACAATACATAATCTTTAGACTTAGAACAGGCCACAACAGACTAAAACAGCACATGTATAAAAAACTAAAAATTGGGTGTGGCGAAATATGCCTTTGTGGCAAGGCCCCGGAGAATACGGAGCACGTCCTTCAAGAATATTCTTTATATAACAAGGCGCGATCCAAACACTGGCCCCTACACACCCCACTCAAGGAAAAACTATATGGGGCACCCGCTGATCTGGAGACCACAGTCCAGTTCATACACGAAGTTGGGCTTGTTGTTTAAATCCTCCATCTTATACCAAATTAAGAACGAAGAAGAAGAAGGTTACTCTACTGCACACACTGAGCAGCATATACAAACACGTGTGACCGTAACGTAAAGAACACTGATCGCCGTTTCTCATGGCGCTACACAAGTGCAGGAAGGTTATGTTGGTTCTTGTTGATTAAGGCGCCAGCTTCTTGACATTTTTTTAAAGAGATCCTCAACTTTTTTCTCCCCCAAACCACTGTTTGTGAAATCATAAAAAAAATCTTAAGATCAAAAGCCACTGATCCCCTTCTCTTCCCCATGCCACACCCGGCCACGTCTCTGTTGATGACACAATATGACACGCTACACCCCATCACCCCCGTCACAGAACTATCAAGTCGGTCATCTACCTCACACCACACTAATGCCACACCACACTGATGCCACCCCCACACCACACTAATGCCACACCACACTGATGCCACCCCCACACCACACTAATGCCACACCACACTGATGCCACCCCCACACCACACTAATGCCACACCACACTGATGCCACCCCCACCCCACACTAATGCCACACAACAATGATGCCACCCCCACACCACACTAATGCCACACCCCGACCCCCCCCCCCCCTCTATAGATAACACAAAATGACATGCCACATCCCATCACCCCCGTCACAGAACTATCAAGTCGGTCATCTACCCCACCCCACACTAATGCCACACCACAATGATGCCACCCCCACACCACACTAATGCCACACCCCGACCCCCCCCCCCTCTATAGATAACACAAAATGACATGCCACATCCCATCACCCCCGTCACAGAACTATCAAGTCGGTCATCTACCCCACACCACACTAATGCCACACCACACTAATGCCACACCCCGACCCCCCCCCCTCCATAGATAACACAATATGACATGCCACACCCCATCATCCCCCCCGTCACAAAACTATCAAGTCGGTCATCTACCCCCCACCCCCACTCTCCACAACACTAATGCCACACCCGACCACTTCTGTGTAGATAACATAATATGATACTCTACACCCCATACAAAACTATTAAGTCGGTCATCTACCCCCTCCCCCCACCCCACTCAACACACACCTCCGTCCCCCACCCCACCCACCTCGCTTCCCCACCCCAAATTTCCCGCTACTTAAGCGCAAGCGCACTTTCCACCTCGAACCAAAACACAAACATCTAAATTTCACGCGGCGAGAGTAAAGCTGTTTTTGTCCAGGAGTCTCCAATAAACACATTCATCTCAGTCCAGCCAAAAAAAAAAAAAAAATGCCATGAATCAACAAAACAACAAGAACCAAAATATAATCAGTTGGGGGGACGGGGACGGGGGGGGGGGGGGGGGGACGGGGGGGACAGGAGATATCCAAACCAAAATAAAATCTTTAAAAAAAATCCCTGCACACATATACACGTTGTCTATGAAGTGATGACAAGTGCGCTCGTTATGTTAGAGTTAAGCTTCAAGGTGAGTGCATTTAAGCCAAACATTCGTTTATTTATTAACGAGGTGACAAATAGCCGATTTTTTTTATTTAAAAAAAGGCTATTTTTAAGATTAAAGGGGCATAATCTGTGAGAGTTAAACGCGTGAAATGGTATCGGCAAGTTGGGCTGAGGACTGGATAATTATTGTTGACAGACGAAATTTTTTTTTTGGGTGTGTATTTCGTCTTTTAAGCCTTACAATAAAAAAAACCAACAACATGACAAATTAGAATTTAAAACCCTTATGAATTTATGTTAGAAAATTTGAAAATAAAGATAACTGTGATACTATTTATACTGTGATTCTATTTACTTTACATACCCAAATATTATTTTCACATTCTGTAAGGTATCTCATACGTAATACAATCTTTGATTGGCTGTTATTTAACCAGGACTAACATGATTTTTGTTCTAAAGAATGAGTACTCTGACACCACAAACCACTACATAATGACCTATCATGACACCATACAATGACCTACCTGACACCACAACACAATGACCTACCCGACACCACCCAATGACCCACCCGACACCACTACACAATGACCTACACTAACACCACCCAATGACCTACACTAACACCACCCAATGACCTACCCTGACCCCACCACACAATGACCTACACTAACACCACCCAATGACCTACACTAACACCACCCAATGACCTACCCTGACCCCACCACACAATGACCTACACTAACACCACCCAATGACCTACACTAACACCACCCAATGACCTACCCTGACCCCACCACACAATGACCTACACTAACACCACCCAATGACTTATCCTCACACCTACCCTGACACCACAATGACCTACCCTGACACCACTACACCATGACCTACCCTAACACTACACAATGACCTACCCTAACACCTCAACCCAATGACCTACCCTGATACCACAACACAATGACCTACCCTCACAACAGTACATAATGACCTACCCTAACACCGCACAATGACCTACCCTTACATAACACACCACCAATGACCTACCCTGACACCACACCATGACCTACCCTGACACCACTAAACCATGACCTACCCTGACACCATTACACCATGACCTACCCTGACACCATTACACCTTGACCTACCCTGACACCATTACACCATGACCTACCCTGACACCATTACACCATGACCTACCCTGACACCACACAATGACCTACCCTAACACCTCAACCCAATGACCTACCCTGATACCACAACACAATGACCTACGCTCACAACAGTACATAATGACCTACCCTAACACCGCATAATGACCTACCCTTACATAACACACCACCAATGACCTACCCTGACACCACACCATGACCTACCCTGACACCATTACACCATGACCTACCCTGACACCATTACACCATGACCTACCCTGACACCACACAATGACCTACCCTGACACCATAAAAAATGACCTACCCTGAGCTGAGCGATCTCAGCCTGCAGCGCCAGGTTTGTCTCGTGCTCGTTGATCACAGCTTTCTTCAACTCGACTGTGGCCTCCAGAGCTGAGCTCTTCATCGTCTCCGTCTCCCTGCCTGCAAGACAAACAGGAAACTGACTCGACACATTCGTTCAGCTAAGTGGGGCAATAAACAACTTCCTACAACCAGACGTACATGCGAGAAACACATTTCTCATAGCTCGCGTACAGCATCCATATTTTTTTTTCAATTCTCTTTACAGATAGAAGAATATTTGTAAAAGAAAATTCTGATGTGTAATCGATTTTTTACTTTCTCGTATTTACGAAGTATAGAGAAAGTATTGTAATCGTGCAATGAGTCGGAAAAACATAGTTTTGCAATCTTGTCCGTATGTCTGTGTGTGTGTATGTGTGTGTGTGTGTGTGTAAACACGATAACTTGAGTACCGTTACAGCTAGGTTGATGAAATTTCATATATAAGTATTTTATCAAAATCGTAGATCCGTATCAACTTTTGAGCGATTTCTGATAACCGGAAGTGGTACTGTTTTTACTTTGAATTTTTCAAAAGCCTATAACTTGAGTACTATTTCAGATAGATAAATGAAATTTCACATGTAAGTAAAAGATCTCATTCTCTACCTTCTATCAAATTTTGAGTAATTTACGTTGACCGGAAGTAGTAATTTACGCTATTTCCAATTTCTCAAAAACGCATGTAAATTTATAAAGTACTAATAATATTGCGCACTATTATGCACAACTTTATTTGACGTTCACTTGGTGTGCAATTCTTCATCCACGAGATTTTATTCTATTTTAAAAAGTTTAAGAATTTAAAATGGTTTTAAAATCATGTCTATAGCCCTAGTTCCCATCCCATGTTGTTTAATATAAAAACGAGCCGACCCGCTGCGTATCATACGCCGCTATTTAGTTGTTTTATTTTCTACTTTTCAGTAATTCATGATTTGTGAATTCGACAGTACCAATGCTGCCACTGAAAATATTTGCTTTAAAACACTAACCTCCCCCAACCCCTCCCCTACACCCCCCCCGTGAATAGCAGCCTCCTCTTAGTTACCTCCTGTAAGTTTAAAATCGTTTCAAACTAAATTATCTGCCCATAATAGCCGCCAACAAACCCGGCTCTACGATTTGTAAACATTTAGAGTGAACCACAGCTCACCAGATCATGTGGGGGTGGGGTGGGGGTGGTAGTGATAGTGATAGAGAGGAAGAGAGGGGACTGCAAAGGCGCGCTTGCAGCTTGTTTTCTAACGGCTCCCAGAAGAGAATTATATATATAGATATTCGAGAAAGTTTAGGGGAGATCACTCCCGGTTTATTTTAAAATAAAGAAATATTAAGCATCCTAATAATTATTTATAACATTGTTGTAACTTTAGTTAAAAATAAAGAGCCTGCAAGACGGATAAGAAAACAATTGGTGGATATGTAAAAACAGGCGGTGGATGTGCAAAAAAATAGGTGGTGGATGTGTAAAAATAGGTGGTGGATGTGTAAAAACAGATGGATGATGTGTAAAAACAGGCGGTGGATGTGCAAAAAAATAGGTGGTGGATGTGTAAAAATAGGTGGTGGATGTGTAAAAACAGATGGATGATGTGTAAAAACAGGCGGTGGATGTGTAAAAAAAATAGGTGGTGGATGTGTAAAAATAGGTGGTGGATGTGTAAAAACAGGTGGTGGGTGTGTGAAAATAGGTAGTGGATGTATAAATACGGACGGTCGATGTGTAAAAACAGGTGGTGGATGTGCAAAAATAGATGATGGATGTGTAAAAATAGGTGGTGGATGTGTAAAAATAGGTGGTGGATGTGTAAAAATAGGTGGTGGAGGTGTAAAAAAAAATCAAGTGTTGCAGTCGAACGCTAGAGTAAATGCACTAATATGGCCTTGACCGTCCAGAAAGGAAGGTTAAGTAGCATCCCGTCTATTTCAGCGCTCTCCACACGACAAGATTTGCTAACACTACGATAAAAAATACAGAGTCCCATCAAACTAGGGTGAGCTTAGTGACGTCCTACGGACTAGCCAAAGACCATCCAACCAACCTCTGAATAGACCAGCCGAGCCATAACTGATGATCTGAGTTAAGCCTAAGATACAACCGCGTCTGGGCAACTTAGTCAGGGTGAGAATAATATACAGTTTTTGTGACCAGCTCAGTCAGGGTGAGAATAATATACAGTTTTTGTGAGCCCACTGCTGCCCATGGCTCATATCAATGCGATGATATTTTTAAAAATATAAATATGTTTGTTAGGTATCACAGCCCAGCCAAACAGGGAATACGTTAGACATGAGGTTAGATACTAGTTTGCAATGGCTACCTCAGAAATCCTGGCATTAGGACAGGGATATGAGTAGCATTGCCACTTTGTAGAAAGCGGGTTTAGGAAAAATAAAAAACGACATTAAAAAGACCGATAGGACAGAAGGCCGACAGAGATAAGAGGACGAATTTGACGGTGGTGTTATAATTGCTTTAGTAAAGGGATCTGTTTATCATTGCCACGGTGTTCAAAACGGGTTAAGGAACAAGGCCACATTAAAAAGCCGACAAGTGATAAGGCCGACTGAACATAATGCTGACAAACTAAACTTACTTACTTAATCATTTTAAATCATTGTGGAGCTATCGACAGACCGATCTAAAAAAAAAAGACCGAACCCCTAAAGGCCGACAGACATAAAGGCCGACTAGTTTGACGGAGATACTTTAAAATATTTAGTAACATGGTCTGCCTATCATTACCAGTGTGTATAAAGCTATTCTCTTATAACGAACATACTGTCCGGCCACCTATACATCAGGTAAAGTCAAGCACCTACTGCACCTCTGTTGGTGAAGGAATGTCTAAAGGATCTAATGGACCATCTTAAGATCCCTAGCACATCGATTGTAGTTCCAGGGATCGAAGTCCGAACTTCAGATTTGTTCATCTAACACGCTACTGAATGGGTTTTTAGACGAGACAGCTCTCAACAATTGAATTCTTTCTTATACAAGCTAAACGTATAACAAATACAATAAAAACAACTAAACAACGATGTTTGGAAACTTGGGAGTAAATCTTTGAAGGACAAAGCCTAGAGCGACACGAATCTTAGACCGGCGAGTACCTCAACCTTTGAATCAAAACACTACTGGGCAGTGAACCTTTGAAGGACAAAGCCTAGATCGACATGAATATTATACCCGCGAGTATCTTTTCTCAACTACTGAATCAACACAACCGTTCAAGAAATAGAAAACCATTTCCACTGCAGTGAAAGATCGATGCCTTAATTGTAATTAACGTGGTAATTACCGTCTTCTGAGCTGTGAGCAGTCGATCACCGAGATTATTGGGTAACAAGACGCGATAATGATCGCACAATGGAACTAATATATTAGCGGTATCGCACAATGGAACTAATATATTAGCGGTGGTTGGTTCATTTTATTTCCTAATAATTATACGAAGAATTTCACACTTTTTTTTTCAACGTATAAGCTCAGTGAGGTTTATACTTTTTTAAAACGGAAGCCATCAATTACGAAGCGTGATTTGTTGTGTTTCTTTCAGATAATTTTCAAATTTCCGACAGGAGGGGTGGGGAGTGGGGGGGGGGATACTGGAAAGACGACGATGACGACACAATAAACCTCCCTCCCTTACTCGTAGAGATGCCTTAAAGTTAGTGAAAGACGCTAGGCGGTGAAGTAGAGTTGACCTGTTTATCTGGCCCAGGGAATCATCAGAATAGAGTGACCTTTACAAATGACCTCTCGCCTTGACTTAACACCATAATGGTCAGGACACCAACTGACGACGGACATTTCGCCAAAGTTCGAATAACGTAATCTCTCGGGAGGCTGCAAAATTAACAGCCGGGGACCGGAGAAAATGGAAGGGTATGGTTAAGGCCGTATGCTCCACAATAAGTCAAGTAAGTCAGGTAAGACAGGTAAATCAAGTAAGTCAAGTAAGTCAAGTACGTCAAGTAAGTCAAGTAAATCAAGTACGTCAATTAAGTAAAGTACGTCAAGTAAGTCAAGTAAGTCAAGTAAGTCAGGTAAGACAGGTAAATCAAGTAAGTCAAGTAAGCCAAGTAATGCAAGAAAGTCAAGAAGTCAAGTAAGTCAAGTAAGTCAAGTAAGTCAAGAAGTTAAGTAGGTCAAGTAAGTCAAGAAGTTAAGTTGTAATTGTGAGTCAGTGTGTTTGCATCTCACGGCCATATTTATTGAAACCATTTCCGAATGGCTTTATAAATCTGATATATGGCCCTAATGTTGTCTTCAGTGTGTCTGTTAGCAGAGATTACCAATAAACCTCGCCGACGCATTTATCAAATGAATCATCTATTAAAACAGAAAATAAATAAATAAACAAACCAAATGGGAGACCATCCAACACCTCAAGATCAAACGCATATTTTTAAAAATAAATAAATAAAAAGTAAGTAAACATCGACGCGATTTTTTAAAATATTTTTTTAGTTGAATTTCCTTTTTACACTAATATCAGATTAAATAGATTTTAGATCTTTATCTCGTTAAAAACACAGCTTCAAAGCAAAAAAAAAAATTATAAAAAATTATAAAATCCAAGTTTGAGCTAAAGGCTATTACAGATGTGGCAAGTAAAATAGGATAATAAGATCAAAGATGCGAGTTACTTACCCTGGGCCTTTACTGCTTTCAGCGTCTCCAGGAGTCTTCTGGTGGCTTCTTCAGCCTTCCATCGTCTCTCGCGCTCTGCTTCCAGCGTTCTCACGAGGTTCTGGGGACAGTAGACATACACATAATATAACTGTAGACATACACGATATACAACTAGGTTCTGTGGACAGTAGACATACACATAATATAACTGTAGACATACACGCTATAGAACTAGGTTCTGGGGACAGTAGACATACACATAATATAACTGTAGACATACACGATATACAACTAGGTTCTGTGGACAGTAGACATACACATAATATAACTGTAGACATACACGCTATAGAACTAGGTTCTGTGGACAATAGACATACACATAATATAAGTGTAGACATACAGGCTATAGAACTAGGTTCTGTGGACAGTAGATATACACATAATATAACTGTAGACATACACGTTATAGAACTAGGTTCTGGGGACAGTAGACATACACATAATATAACTGTAGACATACACGATATACAACTAGGTTCTGTGGACAGTAGACATACACATAATATAACTGTAGACATACACGCTATAGAACTAGGTTCTGTGGACAGTAGATATACACATAATATAAGTGTAGACATACACGCTATAGAACTAGGTTCTGTGGACAGTAGATATACACATAATATAACTGTAGACATACACGCTATAGAACTAGGTTCTGGGGACAGTAGACATACACATAATATAAGTGTAGACATACACGCTATAGAACTAGGTTCTGTGGACAGTAGATATACACATAATATAACTGTAGACATACACGTTATAGAACTAGTTTCTGGGGACAGTAGACATACACATAATATAAGTGTAGACATACAGGCTATAGAACTAGGTTCTGGGGACAGTAGACATACACATAATATAAGTGTAGACATACAGGCTATAGAACTAGGTTCTGGGGACAGTAGACATACACATAATATAACTGTAGACATACACATAATATAACTAGGTTCTGGGGACAGTAGACATACACATAATATAACTGTAGACATACACGTTATATAACTAGGTTCTGGGGACAGTAGACATACACATAATATAAGTGTAGACATACAGGCTATAGAACTAGGTTCTGTGGACAGTAGATATACACATAATATAACTGTAGACATACACGTTATAGAACTAGGTTCTGGGGACAGTAGACATACACATAATATAAGTGTAGACATACAGGCTATAGAACTAGGTTCTGGGGACAGTAGACATACACATAATATAACTGTAGACATACACATAATATAACTAGGTTCTGGGGACAGTAGACATACACATAATATAACTGTAGACATACACATAATATAACTAGGTTCTGGGGACAGTAGATATACTCATAATATAACTGTAGACATACACATAATATAACTAGGTTCTGGGGACAGTAGACATACACATAATATAACTGTAGACATACACGTTATAGAACTAGGTTCTGGGGACAGTCGACATACACATAATATAACTGTAGACATACACATAATATAACTGTAGACATACACATAATATAACTAGGTTCTGGGGACAGTAGACATACTCATAATATAACTGTAGACATACACATAATATAACTGTAGACATACACGTTATAGAACTAGGTTCTGGGGACAGTAGACATACACATAATATAACTGTAGACATACACATAATATAACTAGGTTCTGGGGACAGTAGACATACTCATAATATAACTGTAGACATACACGTTATAGAACTAGGTTCTGGGGACAGTAGACATACACGTTATACAACTGTAAACATACACGTTATACAATTGTCAACATACACATTATACAACTGTAAACATACACGTTACACAACTGTCAACATACATGCTATACAACAGTCAATATACACATTATACAACTGTTAACATACACATTATGCAGCTGTCAACATACACATTATACAACCGTAAACATACACATTCTATAATAAATGAATAAATTCAGATGTAGATGAAAAACCGTAAACATACCGACACACAACAAATAAAACAAAGCTAACTACATACACAAAATATTGTAATTCCGTAACATTTGAAAACCAGTAAAAATACTTTAAAAAATAGCCAAACAGATATAACATCAACTGTAGATAAGCTGGACATATAGATAGTCGTTGTATCCACTTGTGAAAAAAATATGCTCCAGATATTTATGTTATAAAACTGTTTAAACTCAACTATTCCCCATTTCATTCTGTAACATATGCTAGGGAACATGTTTTTATGATAAACTGTTTAAACTCCAAAATCCCCATTTAATTCTGTAACATTTGCAAGAGATATTGTTTTTATAATAAACTGTTTTATAAACCAAAGGTGTGTGCACCCGTGTTTGTCGGGGAAGGTACGTTCTTACAGGTTTCTTCAAGTCATGCAACCAGAGTAGACAGCAGTATCTGGGCCGGTTAATCTAACCGGGCAGTTTTATCAGGATATAATAGATCTATCTCTTTCTCTTTATATATCTTTCTCTTTATCCCTCTCTCTCTTTTATCTCTCCCTCTCTTTAACCTCCCTATTTCTCTTTATCTTCCCTCTCTCTCTCTTTATCTTTCCTCTCTCTCTCTTTATCATCCCTCTCTATCTCTTTATCCTCCCTCTCTTTCTTTATCCTCCCTCTCTCTCTTTATCCTCCCTCTCTTTCTTTATCCTCCCTCTCTTTCTTTATCCTCCCTCTCTCTCTTTATCCTCCCTCTCTCTCTTTATCCTCCCTCTCTTTCTTTATCCTCCCTCTCTCTCTTTATCCTCCCTCTCTTTCTTTATCCTCCCTCTCTTTCTTTATCCTCCCTCTCTTTCTTTATCCTCCCTCTCTTTCTTTATCCTCCCTCTCTCTCTTTATCCTCCCTCTCTCTCTTTATCCTCCCTCTCTTTCTTTATCCTCCCTCTCTCTCTTTATCCTCCCTCTCTTTCTTTATCCTCCCTCTCTTTCTTTATCCTCCCTCTCTCTCTTTATCCTCCCTCTCTCTCTTTATCCTCCCTCTCTTTCTTTATCCTCCCTCTCTTTCTTTATCCTCCCTCTCTTTCTTTATCCTCCCTCTCTTTCTTTATCCTCCCTCTCTTTCTTTATCCTCCCTCTCTCTCTTTATCCTCCCTCTCTCTCTTTATCCTCCCTCTCTTTCTTTATCCTCCCTCTCTTTCTTTATCCTCCCTCTCTTTCTTTATCCTCCCTCGATTTCTTTATCTCTCGGAGCGTCTGGCTACAGAAGTGAAACTAGATCTAGAAAATATTAGTTAATTTAATGGTCTATTTGTCTTGTCAAATGAGATTAATCATGAATGTTATACAGCCAGTACAACCAGACATCTTGAATAATCTCCGGTTAGAGTCAGGTGCCAGTAGACAGTGGCGACATACCAAACCAAGACCGACTTATGACCCAGATTCGAACCTAAGACGTTGTTTACTATAGTGCACTCTAACTGCTTGACCAGTTTATCCCCTTACCAAGGCCTGCCAACTCTCTTCGTCATATTTTTTAATCAGATACCCCCCCCCCCCCCCCCCAGACAAACTCAAACTCGGTCAGCCCTCAAGAAGTTAATCCCACACAGCAGGTAATATTGGAGAAAAACATTGTCAATAACTCAACCAAGCCATTCAACATTGGACAGTAAAAACATTGTCAATAACTCAACCAGGCCATTCAACATTGGACAATCACCAACTTCATTCATGACAACATGTTATTTTCCATGGGGACAGTTGGACTTAAGTCTGTTTTTCTATCTGGATTCGGTTCTATAACAGCAGTTGTTTGACTATACAGTTTTCTCTCAGTGGGTTGCTGTTCTTAGCTAACGAGCCTCATCTGTTTGGGGGTCCGAACTCGCGACTTTTGGTGTTAGCGATCATACGCTCTCCAACCTTACCAAAACTCCTCAAGTAATCAGAGTTAGGTAATAACCAACTGCATCATTATAGAAAAGATATTTAAAAAATTAACGCCCTCTGAAGTAAAATTTCAGTAGTTTTATTTTTTCCAGACCGTTAAGAGGAATTATGGTTTGACAAGTCTGTATGTCTTAAGTTTAACTAACTAAAGACATGAAATCTTGCCCCGAATCACAGGTTATGTGATATATATGTTACAAGTGTGGAACGTGCAGTCTGAATGCCACCAAGTGCAAGGAATGACTTGTGCTACCCCCAGTCAGCCATCCAGTGCAAGGAATGACTTGTACTACCCCAGCAAGTCATCCAGTGCAAAGAATGACTTGTGCTACCCCCAGTCAGCCATCAAGTGCAAGGAATGACTTGTGCTACCCCCAGCAAGTGCAAGGAATGACTTGTGCTACCCCACCAAGTGCAAGGAATGACTTGTGCTACCCCCATCAAGTCATCCAGTGCAAAGAATGACTTGTGCTACCCCCATCAAGTCATCCAGTGCAAAGAATGACTTGTGCTACCCCCAGCAAGTGCAAGGAATGACTTGTGCTACCCCCAGCAAGTGCAAGGAATGACTTGTGCTACCCCACCAAGTGCAAGGAATGACTTGTGCTACCCCCATCAAGTCATCCAGTGCAAAGAATGACTTGTGCCACACCCATCCAGTGCAAGGAATGACTTGTGCTACCCCCAGCAAATCTCTTGTGTTATCCCGTCCTACAGTCAGCGACAGGTGAGACCTCTCCCCGGGACTCTCACCCCACCAGCCACCCTCCCACCACATTAATCATTCATGTCTTTCTCATACAGCTCTTTGGTGCATGTCAACCCGGGTGTCATGATGACTTCATATTTTCTTGTGTACAGTGACAGTGTGTGGTCAACCCTGTGGTATGTGACGGTTTTCTTTTGGAGGAAGCGAAACTAGAAGTCATCTACAGTACGTCAATGTTGGGTCGCTCATTACTTGGGTTTTTAAAAAACTCGTTGCATGTTGGGTTGTTATAACTATGAGGGTCTTATCTGTGGGTTGGGTCCATTTATGTGTAAAAAAAATTACCATTTAGTTGATTTAGAGCCTTTCAGTCCATGGAGCAGGTGAAGTAGAGTTCACCTTTTCCGTGACCTGATATAAGAAGGGATAGTGTGCTCGGCACTATGT